CCGTCTAGTTGAAGGTGTCCCTGCCCATGGCAGGTGGGTTGGACTAGATGACCTTTAAAGGTCCCTTCCAACCCAAACTATTCTATGATTCTATGATTATTAATATATTTAAATCCATATAAACTTCAGGCATGGAAAAATACACTCAGTACACTATATCTGTCAACGTATTTACAAAATACACTGTTCAAGACAGCAGAGTACTTCCAACCAGCCACCTGCTGGAGGAGGAGATAAATGCCAACTAACTTTCTCTCTGTGCTCCACACAGCAAAGGCAGTGCTTTACTCATTAAAAAACCAGACATGGGCACATGCACACACACATATGGATTTTATCTGAGGCACAACTTCAATCTATTTGAGAAAAAGATCTTCTAAAACATGGATAGAAGTTGTGACATGAAACACTGACATGATTTTTCCACAACCCACAATATCAAGTTCAATTAATGAGGATTTACTGGTATCCAGCACACCTGAAAATCATGCCAGAGATATCTCATGGCAAACTCTTAATTATGTCAGCACCCTAATCAGTGACTTGAAAAAAGAAAGGGGGAAGAAAAAAAAGAAAGCGTAGAAGCTGCTGCACTTCAGCATACAGTCTGTGACCTGGCAGTCTGGATACTCGCATTTTGGTTCTAACGGTATCTGCTGTGCAATTTGCAGCCACAGTTTGAAGGGAATCTACTCTGTCTTTAATTCTTCCTTTCTGAACATTAGAATTAGCCGTATATCTCACCAACACAGCTACAGTAAAGGAAATAAAAGGGACTCATGATCCACCTGTCATTAGGGATACAATAATGATAAATAACAACAATGGAAAAGAACTCAGGATCACCCCACTCCAAAACTTACATGGACACAAAGTCTCAGAGAATCCTTTTGTACTCCTCCAGCTTTTAAAAGTCTCAGCTAGTTCAAGCTTGCTTCAGTTCTGCCAATAACCAGGCAATTTCATTTTGTAAAATACAGTGAAACAGCCTAGTTCACTGGTGTTATATTTACATGTAAAATTAAAATTCAGCATTTAAAAGCTAAACATTTCAACTGCATTTCTCTTACTTTCCAAATACATCCCAATGTAAGAGAAAACACCACACGTATATACTTTGAGCATTAGCATAGCACGATTAAAAGACTAATATTATACTGGAGATAGCTTGCTGCCTTATCCAAATCATATATCAGCAAAACACCTAAGCACATGCTCAGCTTTAACTTTGTGCAGTTTTACTGATGCCAGCAAAATTAAACACATGCTTACTGTTTTGGGAGATTTGGAGCAATGGATTTGATCTTGAACCTGTTTGTAATACTAAAAAGAACACTGGAAAGAACTAACCTGTGCATTTGCTGCTGTATATGTTCTCCTGAAGCTGTGCTCTACCTTTACCTTTACGTTTTCCTGGAGGCCCTGGGGGTCCAGGTGGTCCAGGGGGCCCTGGTGGTCCAGGTTCACCTTTTGCACCTATGTACAAAACAGAGCACAATTTCGCAGGCCCTGTAAGCAACAGGCAACCTGCAGAGAACTGTACGTGTCCACATGATGGACTTTGAGAGATTTCCAAAACAGCTTCTCTCTTCTTAAGAGGTTTCTGCATACAGAAATATGGTGCAATAAACTCACTGGGATGCTGTTTGTTTAGAAGGTGAACCATACAGAACTTCACAAGTTGTAGGACATCACTCCAATTTATCTGTCTGGATGACAGGCACATTAGAGAGTTATAACGCACTGTTGCCTTTTACTTACTGTATTCTAAGACCTCAACTTCAGAGGCTACAGTGCTATAATTTTACACAGCTTATATTTGTGGCTGCTTCATGTATTCCTGAGCGGAAATCTGCCCCTCATTTTCTAACAGAAAAATAAAACTACACTGCAGGAAAGAGCAGGAGGAGGTCAACTGTCTGGAAGTGTACTGGAAAGGGTGGAATTCATATACACCTCAACCCAAAACCCAAGCAGAAAAGTTTTTGTGAAGACTTGCATTAGAAAGAGAGCATAATCTCCTGGGCAGAGCAATACTCAAACTTCACTGCGGATAACATGGTTATGCTGGTTGGTCCTACTCTTGCCACATTCATGCTTCAGCAGCAGAGTATATCTTTTTCTCTCAAGTACACTGTTGCAAGAGAGCTCCTAAGAGCACTTCTTCCTACCTTCTAATATCACATCATTGTTTGCATCCCCCTTTTCACCCTTTGCTCCTCTTGCGCCTTTTCCTCCTGGCATACCATCTTTGCCAGGTAAACCCATTTCTCCAGGTTCTCCTTTCTGTCCTTGATCACCTTTTGGTCCTGGTACACCTAGAAATAAAAAGCATTTCAGTACCAAGAACACTGTTCCAGTATTAAGCATCAATCAATACATTTTTTTTTAATACTAAACGTATTCACTCTAGTTGGTTTTTTCACCTGTATTTAATTGGGTAGCTGTAATTTGTTCTGATTTCAAAACAATGTTATAACCCAATATTAAGGGAAACGGTGTACGATCCATTTGGTGCAAATAATACATTCTTTACCTAGTGATGTCTGAGTTTTGAACACGAAATATAGAGACCTGGGCCTCGCCAACACTGGCTGGAGAATTTCTGAGTAAGTAGAAATACTAAGGAAAGATGTAAAGTAATGTATTTATTTCACATTTGTAAGGCATTAAAGAAGGGCATTTTCATGGTTCTTCTAGACTTTAATTACACACTAACATTACAACAGACATTGCACTTTTAACATTTTCCACTGTCCCAACAGAGCATAGATACAGCTACCTAGTAACATTTTCACATGGCTGCTACAATTTGCAATATTCTATAGTGTATGTATACCATCTTCCTCACTGTGGAGTAAATCTGAATAATTTACCAAAGCTTGGTGTAAGACAATGAATGCTACAGAATTCTGTAACATGCAACTTCTTTGTAACCATTGAAACCCTTCTCCCTGTACAAAGGTCTAAAAGTAACTACATCTGAATATAACAGTAAGAAAGGATTTCTTTTTTAAAACAATCACCAAAAAAAGAGAATACCTATTTTTCCTCTTTTTCCATTTATTCCTGGTTCTCCCTTTTGTCCTGGTATACCTGGGACTCCATCTGATCCATTGTAGCCAGGCAGTCCATCAAGTCCAGGAAGCCCTGAACAAACCAAACAGCATAACTGAAATTTTACTGTTAAATGCAATTTATCCTTAAATCTATTGTATGTAGATCATATCATATGTATGTTTATATATATATATATCTCTATCTCTCTCTTAGACATACAAAAACCACTAACTGGCCATTATGTTCTCCATGCCAAGAGAGTATCCTCCTTAAAAAAAAAAAAAACACCACCAAACCAACCCAAACAATACAAACAAAACACACCCACCCACAACAAACAAACAAAAAACTATGAAACCAAACTTAAAGGTAAAGGTGCTTGTTTGCCCTGGCCTTAGCATAAGAAAACTGACTGAAATGAATACTGCACACATTTTGCATTAAGGCTAGCACAGATCAGCCTTTTGGATTCCACTTCAAGGACAAACACAGCGGAACCCATCCTATTTCTGAATTTGACAGTGACTATAAAGTCTTCCAGCATCCACGTAAGCTTTAATGTTGCTTATGATATTGGCCAGACTAATCTAACACGAGAAAAGCATTTACCTACTTGTCCAGAATACTGCAGTGTCAAACCACCACTGGTTGATAGAGAAGACATCACTCCCTCTTCGTCGCTATTTGAACCCCCACAAACAAAAAGCACCTGATACTTTTCTGGTACAGAGAATTATTCTAAGCAGACCCACAGCTAAAGAAGCACAGAAAGAAATCAAGTAACCATTCATATAGCCTAGCAACCACATGAGTGAGAGCAGAAAGAGAGAATTAGATAAGAAAGGAGGAAAAGTTATGGGGGAGGTGGGAGGGTGGAATCAGTAACCAACATTTTTTAGAGAGATGGCTTTAGTGTTAAATTATAATATCCGTTTACTCGGGGTTTTTTATATATATATACACTCATCTTTTCAGCTAAATGCTACTTAAACACTCTTAATTCCATCTGGTTTTGATCAAATATGTTTTAGCAAATGTGAAACTATTCTATTCCCTCCACTAGAAAAGTATAATGTCTAAAACCTCCTCCCTCTCAGAAGGAGCACGAGTTGACCTAAATACAAAAACTATAAAGGCAGGCAGTCATGCAACCCTCCCTCATTCTAATTAGCAAAGGGAGACTATTCTATAAAAGATACATTTCTACATTTCAACATTTTGTACCAGCAACTGTTTCAACTACCCAAAAATGTTATTGCAATTGTCCAAGTATCTTACCTGGGGGACCCGGGGGGCCTACAACAAGAACAGCAAAAGAACACAAGAAAGAAGAAATGGTGAGTTTAACCTAGCAAGAAAACAAAAACAAACAGAACAATTCCAAATTGAATTGATTAGCGTTAGATCAGAACAATAAAAGGGGAGGAAAGCCCCTCAAATTTCAAAACGAACACCTATGGATTTAACTGCTTTGTATTATAAATAACTATTTGAGCATTAGCAGAAACTCAGACTTACTGAAAGAGTATCCTTAAAAGCAATTACATATACACATGCATTTTGCTTTTTGCAAATTTCAGTCGATAAATGTTTGACAAACAACCACCTCTACAATCTCACTGTCAGGGGCTTAGGTGCCTTTACAATGGCATGGATGCAAGGCATCTAACAAACATCACGTTTCCTTTATATAAGTGTTCTCCAAGATCCTGTTATAGTAGAAGAAGAATAGCTTTACAATACTGATGAATGTCACAATTAAAAAGTCCTGTTGAAAATACCCATTAAAAATACATGCTACACTTCTCTGTGTTTTACGGACATTTCATTGCAGTTCAGGATTCAGACTATTTAAATAGAAGGAAAAAAAAAAAAAAAGTCGTCATTCCTATTAACTACATCTAAATCACAATCAGGCTTTTCACATGTAATTGTTCTCCAGACTGGACCAAGCTCCCCACAGAACCTGGGTGGTGTATTAGAAATTGGACTTGCTTCAGTTATTTAGCAACATGTAATACAATAAAATCTGTCTCACTCTCTCTGACTTAGTTCAAGTATAGGGCCTTAATGAGAAGAAAGCATAGCAGGCAAGAGCAAAGCAAGAGTAAACCAGAAAATGTTTCTGTAATAAAATTTTTCTTATGTGATCCCCAATACACACTTAAAAAAAAAAAAACCCAAACACAAAAAACAAACAGGAAAAGCAGGTTAGGAGAATACAAAGAAAGGTGGTAGTTGCAATTAAAGAACCGAATTAGTTCTGTGAACATTTTTATCAGCCAAAGTACTGTCTTGTTTCAACAAAACTCTCTACAACAGAAAATAACAGCAATTACTAGATTTCCCTAAAGATGACAATTTTCAGCATTAATTAGGAAGCATTATGAGTAAAGTGAAAACCATTTTATAATACCATTACAGCAATTATCCCTTTTAATCAGTACAGGCAGGAACAGCAGTTAACATCTTTCTGCCAATTTTCCAGTAAATGACCGCTTTTTCCACACTACAATGTTAGGCCCATTAGTGCGTTCAATTACTTCCTCATCTCAAAAACTGAAGATCTTGATTATTCTTGTATAAGCATAAGATAAATAAGAAAGGGGCTTGAAAAGTAGCAAATGTCACAGAGGTCTATAGCAGAGAAAGCCAGTAACAGAGACAAAAATTAATAGTGTCAAGAGAACAAAAAGGTGCAGAAGGCACTAAGTAGCATGAATTCGGAAGTCTGGAGCCCAAAAAAACAAACTTTCAGGTCTGTGGTTCAGCCTCAGTCACAGTCAGAACTGATCTACAATTTCAGAAGCAGTATTTAACATCTGTGTGTACTATGGTACTTCTCATTTATGTTGAAATCAGTTGAGCCAAATGGACCTTATAGCCACTTGAAAATACAAACCAGAGAGCAAGTGAAGCGCTTTCTTAAACTCGTAAAAAGTGGCTTATTTCTAATCTTCTCATTTCCAAAAAGAACACATGACTCAGTCTGTTATAGGATTCAAAGCTGGACTATAGACCTTAAATTGGCTACTACTGAATTCTCTTCACCAAATCACATAGAAACTTCTCACATCTTCTCTTGTGCCAGCCATCAGCTATTCCAACTCCTCACTGGTTACATGTGAAATCCAATGTCCTGTTACCGTGGTCCAAGGCAGGGGAGGCAAACACATTGCTCATCTAAGTCCCACTACTCCACAGCAGTTACAACAATGGAAGCAAATTTCTATGCCTTATATGTTCATCCCATGTTAGCCTTGAAGTGTGGGGACATACACAAAAATACCAAGATTAAACCTCAACTAGTATTTTAAACACCCAAGTCTGTAGGATTTGCTTACGAAAATTACATGAGAAATAAGCAGCTCAAGTAACACCAACTGAACTCCTTAAATTCCAGCATTTATAGTAAGTGGGTATAGATAAGTCCCAAAGTAGCACCTATTATCTTTTTTTAAATAAACAACCCCATTGATATGTAAGTTCTGATAGAGTAAATAGCATAGTTCTTTGACATAGTCATTGACCTCAATTTCTTTGAAAACACTGTAATGCTGTATTCCTGAAGGTAACATAGGCGTAATGTTTAAGGCAATAAACATACCTGTTAAACATATCCCTTTTGTGCTGTTACATAAATCCACCATCACTCGGACCTAATATTGCAAAGAAAGTAAAGTTGAAAACAATGCATGCCATAAAAGTATCTAGTTTACTTTGCCCACAGAAACAATTCCAAAAACAAAGATTCAACTGTCCAACTCTGTGCTTATAAGAATAAACTGTTTAGAACTACCTTAACATTGTGACACCATCCATCTCTTCAGGCAGTGATTCTCTCATAGGAATCTGTTCAAGATACCTCATCTTAAACCTTACTGAATATATGAAGAAAATATTGGGCAGACAACTCCATACATCATCTAGGCGTTGAAGTTCACACATTACTGTAAAACATGTGTGATTATCCATGCATTGACTTTACCAGTGGAAGGTATTAAAAGCCATCATCAGCCAATAAAAACTACATTCAATTTTATTTTATATTTGTATAAAATTATGGATACTTTTCCAACATAGCATATCCAGTGAAAAAGATGACCTGTGTTCCAAGTAAGCAATTTCTTATCTTGGAATAACCAAGATCTGCAAATTCGGAATGGACCTTCGTCCATTCAAAATACTTCCTCCCAACAACAACAGACTTTATAAAAACCAAGCTGGAAGAGACATTCATACAGATGCTTTTAATCTAGGGTAGACTAAAATCTACCAATTAAAAAGTCATCTTTACAAAATGCATGGATTTTGGCTGGGCAAACATTCACGTTACATGGCCTGCACGCTGAGAGTCAACATGAGCACTGGAAGTGCCTCAATTCTTTATGGCAAAGTCTAATGTTTATATATAGTCAGAAAAGAAAAAGATTATTATTTCAGGGCTGTGCAATATATGATAATTTATGAACATATTTACCCAGAGTTGGCACATGTATTCATCTTTGTACAATTACTCTATTTACAAATAATGGAATGCACTAGTCCCAAAATACAGAACAAACAAGTGCAAGTCAATCTGAAAGGCAGACTGATGTTTCATCCTAGCAAGGTTATTTGCTGCTGTCAATCTTTATTTTTAAAATTAATGCATCATTAGCTTCAAGTGACAAATCTAACAGACTCAGATAAAGGACAATTATTTTGATGGCAAGTATTCTTTTGTTGCAAAATCAAACTATATTTGACTATGGATTTCAATTCTGTCAGATACATACTGAGAATTTACTGGATTCCGGACTGTACTGGAACAGCTCTTATATTTAGAAGCTTTAGACTCAATTTAAATTAGCTGAGAAGAGCTAACTGGTTTTGAATATCAGAATTTCCTTGTTCTCTTTCCCCTCACACCCCTCAAAAACACTTGGCTTCTACTCTGTAATTTGTAAAACACACATTGTCCATGTGCGCTCTAATTCAAACTGCATTTTAATCTAATTGGTTTTGTTGAGGTTGCTGAAGTGATTACAACTTGCTTCCTCCAATTGGCCCTCCAATTATCTCAGCAGCATTATTTTTACCAATCAGTGCAATTCAGGTGACAATTACAAAACACGGCACTCGAGAAGTGAGTCTGTTATAGCAAAGAGCCTACAACAGAACCTCCAGCTTAACTCCGAAAGATGAGTACCCCAGCCATCCAACCAGCCAGCATCGTCTTTGCCATGAAGAAAAGCTACAGATAAAAGTATCTTATTTAGATGCTAAAAGCTTTGTTTTCTCATGAAGAAAGGGTGAAAATGAAAAAAAGACAACCTAAACTATGAAGCAACTTCTCAGATAATTAGATGTCTATAAGCCACCACTTCTCGCACTGTTCTAAATCTCACTTTCAAACTTGCTGCTCACAGACTTAGTGGACTCTTACCTCTCATCAGCTTTTCTACAGCGGCAGATTTGCCAACTTCCTATTTTCATCTCTTACAAAATAAATGTATATATATTTATAAAATAAAGGCACAGAACCAAAAGTATACTCACGCTATTAAAGCTAAAGCGTGATTTTTGATGCCTAAAGTTATTTCAAAGATTCCTGAACAGAGGCCACAACAGTGTCCCCCAACCAGCAGTGGGTAGAGCAGGAGGATGTTGACACCTGCAGTACCAGTCTGCAGAAATCTCTGCCTCCGCTACGAGAGAGATCCTGCTCGGGCAAAACCTCCATTCGGGGCCCACATCCAACAGAGGCTGGAACATCGTTCTAAGGCCCACCAATGTAGTAGGGATCATCTCACCAGCTGTAAGGAACTTTGTCTCATGCTACAAAAGTATTCACGCCTTCATACTACATCAGTGGGAGTTAGATGCAAAATACAAAAAAGAAAGGGTGGGAGCGGGGGTGCTAGAAAATGTTTCTAAGGACTTTTTTCCCCTTGAGCAAGTGGGTCTGCACACAGTTACACACTCCTCTAAGCAGCAGCCAGAACGAAAAAATATTTGATGGAAATTTTGTAAGAACAAAAAGGCACAAAAAACCCCCAAGCAACTCCCCGCAGGACACGTGCATTTAAATGAACACAGCAGAAGTCACAGTGGTGATTTAAATGGAGGAGCTGCACAACTGAACAGTCTTGCCGCACGCTGTTAAAATATACACCGTGTCACTCGGTGCTACTTGGAGAGGGCAATAACATTCATGTAATCCATACGTGCTACCTAATGACAGCAGAGTAGCATATTTAACTGCCACTGTCAAAATTATCCAGCCCTTACACTCAAAGAAGGGATTCATATCAGATGGAACAAAATGAGCTGTAGCTGCCAAACACTAAGATGATTTCTTAAAAGAAACAGGAAAAAGTTTTGACTAAACGTTTTGATGAAAAGCTTAGGTACCACACACAAAAATACTTCACTGGGGCAGCAACTTTTTTAACATTACCTGATCCAAAAAAAAATCTTTTTGGTATATGTTTCTAGAAAGTCATTTAAGTTTTCAAATTTGAAATAACTCTGCTCAGTAACAGTAACTTGAGAATTATGGTTCAAAAAATAATGATTTACATTCTACTTTGACCTAAAATAATGGTTTAGGTTTTTTTTTCTGAATTGACAGAGAGCTGAAATGTGTATTATCCATGTTATTTTTAAGACCATTTTGAGTACAAAACTACATGATTTTAAGACTTCAGGAAACTACACGCTCCAGTAAGATGCACAGGGTCCAGTGAAAAATGTTGCTACTTTGGTAAGTGGAATTAGAAACTAGAACTGAATATCCAGTATCTTTCAGTGTGCCTCCCAATAAAAAAAGACATTCTTTGAATTGCAGAAGTTTTGTCCTGCAAATTCTAAACTCAAAGCACAAGACTTAAAAGTCCTTAGCTAAAAAAAAAAAAGTAATTATTTATTCTAAAACCCCAAACAATTGCATTATCTATGCTACAAAAACCTACGCTCTACAGTCTCATTAGCTCTAATATTAATGGAGATGTTATCACTGTAAAATCATAATTGCAATGGTTTATTAATAAAAATGCCAGCGGAACGTTACTGAAAAGATATTTTCTGTAAGTAATTTTTTAAACCAGTAATATTAATTATATCAGTAAGAGCTTGAATTAGCCTTTCCTGCTTTTTTGTGGGCCTAGGCCTGCAATCCTTACTGGGACAGAATTTCCACTAAGGTTCTTTCAACACTAATATTTTTCTTGCATTTCTTTTCAATCAGAACTTAAAAGTTTTTCAATCTATTCAAAATCTTTCAACTGTATGACCTGCATAATTTTTCAACTACGTGACCTAGTTCCTACCGAGCAAAGATAATCTTTTCACTGAAGTGCAAAAAACTATGCCGTTTTGCCAGAGAAAGGACAAGAGCTCTCCTCTTCTGACCCATCAAATACTACCTTGAATTTAAAACTTACTGAAAGGGCACGATCAAAGAAACGTGATGGTAAAGTAATATCCAGCACCACGTGTTGAGATGCTGAGCAGCAGCATGGGTGGGCGTCCGTTAGTGGTGCAGAGATTTAAAGATCTGAAACCTTGGAAACTGGAAGGCTGACTTTTTATTGCAACTTATTTTTTGCAGTTTCATTAAATCCACGCTACTAACCAAAAACTTCACTCCATTTGTCTACGTAACTATCATTTCAAAAGTTTAATCATAACCTGTAAGCCGTGTGGCCCACCAACTCTTAAGGGCTCAGCACTCACAGACGACAGTAGGCAACCGCCGCCTCCCCGGCACTACGCTCCT